GCTTCACCCCACTCACCATAGCTCGAGTATAGCCAAGGTTAAATCCCCACCGTTTTAGGAACATTCTGGAACACCGTCTCTGACATAGTTCATCTACCCAGTTACACCACCTCATTAACTAGATTTTCTTTCTACTGCCAAGTCTTGGAACAAAGGAAGACCCTGGTGCTATCAAGCGCTCTAGTGATCTAGAACAGAGGTCAGCGAACTGTTTCTGTAAAGGGATAAATACTTAATATTTCAGGCTTCGCAAGCCATACCGTCTCTCTCACAGCGACCCGACTCTGACACGGCAGCATGCGGGCAGCCACAGATGATATATAAACAAATGAGGGGGCCGCGTTCTAATAAAACTTTATTTATGGACACAAATGTGAATGTCATGTAATTTTCACACTGATGAAGTCATCTTTCTTTTGATTTTCTGCCATTTAAAAACAGAAAGACCATTCTTAACTCACAAACCAAGCAGGAACAGATGGTGGGCCAGATGTGACCCATGGGCCACAGTTTGCCAACCCCTGATCTAGAACTATTCCACAGACTCGAGACCTAAAATTAATGAATGACAGAATTTATACTATCCAATCAGAACTATGCTGAAAGTGGTCAGATCCTACTACCTGCACCCATTCCACCGAACTGTCCACGCAGGTAGATGCCAGTAGAACTGTCCATACAGCTGAACATAAACCATAAACGACTTACTAAAAAATGATTTTCAAACCTCAGTTGTATCTGAGTTTATCAAAGACAAAACCCTGCAAAGAAGCAGTACACAAGCATGTTTTAAGGGTCTTACATAAGGATTTCAATAATGGGTTAATTTGCTACCAACATTTAGCATTCAGGCTATTTCACATAAAAACTCAGATTATCATTCTCTTGGAAAAATAACTGCAAAATACAGATCCTGGGCCCAAACGTCGGCATGGCAACAATCTAGGGATGCTGAGCAAGGCTACCCCTTTACACGGGGCATGTTCTCCATCTGACCACAAACCCTATCTTCATGTGGGTTAACTGGCTGTCCCTAGAGGCATTTTGAGTTTATGACCCCTTGTCTATGGTCCTTAGAAAAACCTTCTATCTCTTTCACAACATGGCTTCAATAGCTATCTTATTTGAAGACCTCACATGGAAATCTCTCAATCTTCTCTCAAAATTCAACACCCCCATACACCAGGCCCTAGAAACAAAATCACTGGTTCTCACACCAGTGCAAGGTATCAACTTAAAAAAAGTTTCAATCAAATCCCCCTCTCAGTGTGGCCTCAATTTGAACCACGGTCTCCAATAAGATAGACAAATGACAAACGACCCTTCAGGTCTTCTTACTCTCCAAGCTGGCCAAGGTAGAGGCCAGCCCAAGGAGGTGGGGTAAAAGCACTCACATCAGAACACCTTAATTAAGCAGAGTGATCAATCACACATATAGTAATTAGAAAGCAAGATTTGGGACTGATAAATTAAAACCAACCAAAGGCCATTCTGCACAGGGTAAGAAGTCAAGAGCCAGATTTTGGAGGGGGGCAGGGGATAAAAATAATCAAACAAAACAAAACAAAACCTAAGAATACACAGAAAAAGCTAGTAACCAGAGTCTGGTCCAAGTTCATTATTAACCTACTGTGTCATTTCACTTGGCTCACACCCACCTTCAATACAATAGTTTATTTGGGGGTGGCAGGCTTCTGACAACTACATGCTAACTGATCTGATGCATATTATCTTATTGGTGAAAGGACTGGGTCCTTTCCCCTTCCCTGGGGAAAGAAAAATTCCAGATATATAGACAGCGGATCCCTAATGCACTTGGGCAACATAAGCCTAGCCCCCCCCCCCCCCCCCCCACAGCCTTTTTAAAAAATATAGGTGTTAGTTTAATTTGTTAGCCACATCAGAAAAAGGAATGTTCAAACAGTAGATCTTCCACTTGAAATTAAAATGGAAATTAGCCCTTAGAAAGCAGAGATGACTGTAAGTTTATACATCAGCGGCTGGTTCATGAATTATTAACTGATTTTAATGATCCTGGCTATATTTTATTTGAAGTTATTCTCCTACTTGCAATGACTTTTGAACCCTCAAAACTCTTTCATCCATTCTCCATAGACAGTACACTTTCCGAGCGCTGACATTTTAAAAGGATCCATATACTCACAGAACGTAAAGATAATACACACAACATATAATTTATACGAAGACTCTGGTCATTTGTTAAAGAGAGAAATGAATGAAACCCTATTATTCACGGTTTGTAAATAAATTTAAAGATAAGTGCTAACTTTTCACTTGTTAAGCCTGGAGCAGAGGGTTCTGTATTTCTTCTAAAGTTTCCCAGATGGTCGTTAAAAACAAGAAAGGGCAGAAACATACTTTGTTTGAAACCCATCATTTCGCCTCCGGAGTGATAATATGCCTCACCAAGAGTTAAGTCTTAAGAGATTAATAATTACAGGTATTTCCAAATTAAAATAAATGCATGTCTTTGTATGCTAGTTTTTACATTTTCAGTATAAATCTGTACTGAATAGTACCACCTCAGACACACAAGTTAGCTGTGAAACAAAATGCTATAAACCCTTAATTATCACTTGCTGTTTTATACCCACAAAGTTAATACTTCCTCTTCTACTACATTCTCCCTATAAAGAAAAATCACTGTGAATAAAATTGGGTTTTTTCTCTGCTGAAATTAAGACTACGAAGATAAAGTATTGGGGCTCAAATGCAAGATTACTGGATTTTTATCTGCAAGGAATTAAATGCGGACATCCCTTAAAAGAAGTACAATTTGATTTCCACCAATATTAAGTAAGCACTGTGTCTAACTTTCATAAATCAGATACACACAGCACTTGCGACCACCAGATCGCTGAATTACTAAGAAACCAGGTTGTTCCAGGCAAAAAGCTGTGTAAAGAAAATATGACAGCAAACCAACTTGCATTCTCACTCACGAAGTTGAACAACCATCTTGATAAATAACGGGTGGGTTTTGAGCTTTCTATACCCTCCTGAAGTAAATGTTCTGAGTTTAAATGGGCTCAAAATAGCTTTGCTCAAAAAAAATTAAAAAGAGACATACACACAAAACACCCACAATTTCCTCTGGTCCCTTGAAGTACCCTTGGGATCGCAGTGAACAGAGATTTGCCATGCACTGCAGTGACTGGATTAGTACAAAAGGTTTCTATTTTGGTGTCATTCGAGTGTTGCTGATCTTAAATCAGAGAAAGAAGTAGTTACATTAAGCAAGGTAATGGCTTCCAAAAATAAGAGCATGCCCAGTTCTCCCAGGCTTGCATACACAGGCTAAGTTGTAAGCAGATAAATAATACCCCGCTGGAACAATTAGGTGGGTTCTCAGAAACACGACATACTTAATTAGGCTGCCTAAGTCACTAACTGAGCATACAAGGGGGACTTTTTAAAGCATTTAATAACCTGAGTAAATCCAAAATCAGAGGACAGAAACTAAAACCCTTAACCCTGGCTACTGACAGAGGCCTTTTCTTGCTTCCCTTTCTAAGCTTCACGTACCACTCTTGGAATTTTGAGAGCATGAACGCCCCCCCCCCCCAACCCCGGCCCTCCACCGCCAGCACCACCAAAGGGTTAAAACACACTGAATAATGTCCCTTGGTTCTTTACTGGTGGGGAGGCCCGCGGTGCCAGGCGCGGGGCTGGGCGACGGGGACACAGGGGTTAGGCAGAGAGACCCTAAAGGTCTTTTACAAACTTCAGCACTGGAGTTGGGATCGGAGTATAAACAAATAGAAAGGAACACGAGCCTCCATCAGCCACGGGGCACAGCAAACTGTTCCTCACTCTAGATACAATCCCTCCTCTTCCTGTTATTTATTCATTAGTTTTGTATAGCACCTTTCTTTCAGCGGCTCCTTATTTCCTCCTCTGTTATCCAAGCAATCATAAACAAACTACGATTTGAAAGAAAAGGCGGGGGAGGGGAGGGAGGAGCAGGGGGAAGGAGAAAGAAAAACCACATTCAAAAGGCACAGGCCATCCAGAGCACAGCTCTTTCTCTGAACATCGCCCTTGGGGTGAATGTTTCCTCCAAAGCTTGGCCCTGGGGGCTGCAGGAAGGACCCAGAAGGGGAGTCCGCGCCGCCCTGGCCCAATGGTTGCGACTCCAGCCCCGCCTCGCGGGTCCGAGCTGCGCCAGCTGCCTTTCCGAGACCCACCTTCGCCCACCTGAAAAGCTCGGTGCTCGAAGTTGCCGCGGGGGAGTGGGGGGAGAAGAGGTGGGTTGACCCAGGGCGTGGTGGGGAGGTCTCCAAGCCTGATCTCCCCGAAATGCAAAACTTACCCCTTCCCCAAAAAAATGAAAGATGAGAAGCAGCTTGGAGCTAACGAGGGAGGGGCTGGCACCTCCGTTCCGGGGTCCAAGGCGCCCCAGCGAGAGGGCAGCAAAAGCCACCTGCGGGGGTCCCAACACTTCGCGCCCCCACCGCCCCCGCCCAATCCAGGGCACGCTCAAAAGTTTGTTCCTTTCCTCCCCCCGAGCGGCCCCGGGTCCAGCTCTCGAGTGCGCGGGGAAGGTAAGAGGGGTTGGGGGTGTGGGGGTGTGGCGAGGTCGTCGGACCACGAGATCGGGACTCGTGAGGTGCCCCCCCAACTCAGGGGCGCTGCGACCATGTTTACTAATAACAACAACAAAGAATCACAAGCGTGTCCCCTCTTTCAGTCCTCGGGCTGCTCTTCGCTTCTTTGGGGCAGCAAAGGAGAGTCGGCGGGGTTGGAGGGGGGAGTAGTGGGGGGAGAGAGAGTGTAGCGCCGGCAGAGGGACAAAAAGGGGGTTGTGGGAAGGGGGCAGAAAGAGTAGAGTGAGAGAGTTGGACAGAGACGAAGGCGCAAAAAGGAAAGGCGTGGAGAGGGGAGAGAAAAGTGCAGCGGGCGGGGAGCTGGAGCGCGGGGTGCGCCCGGGATGGGGAGGTGGCCCCCGCCCCGCCGCCCCCCGGCCCCGGCCTGGTCACCTTGCTGTAGCCGTAGTAGCCCAGACACTGCGCGAAGTCCAGGCCGGCGGGGTCCCCGGCCGCCGCGGGGTAGAACCTCACATCCATGCCGGAGCCGGGCCCGGGGCCGGGGGCCGGGGGCCGGGGCTAGGGCTCGCCGGGTCCGGTGCCCGCTTCCTCGAAGCCGCTAGATCCACCGTCGGGGGCGCCCGGCCGGGGTTGCCCGGGGGCGGCGCGCGGGGCTCGGGGCCGGAGGAGCGCTGCGACCGGAGCCCGAAGAGCCCGGGAGCCGCGGCCGCCGCACACAAAGGCGCGGCCACGCGAGCCGCGGGAGAGCGGGAGGCGGCCCGGAGGACGCGCCCCGCCGGGGCACCGAGGCAGCGCTGCGCGCGGGCCGGGCGCCCGGGGCGCGGGGCGCGGCGCGGGGGCCCGGGCGGCGCGGCGAGTTCAGGTGCGCGGGGCGAGGCTGGGACGGCGGCGGCTGGCCCCGCTCCTCCTCCTCCTCCCCGGGCGGACTGAGGAGAGGAGCCGCGGAGACAAGGGGCCCGGCCCCTCCCCTCCTTCTCCCCCCCCTGCCTCCGCCGCCGGTCCCCTCCCCGCGCCGCCGCCGCTCCGCCCCTCCCACCGCGGGCAGCTGGCGCGCCGCCCGCCCCGCCGGTGCGCTCCTCCGCCCGGACCGCCCCCGGGCGCGCCGACCCCGCCCCGCTGCGGCCCCTGCCCCTCGCGGCCCCTCGCGGCTCACCCCGCGCCTCGCGCAGCCCTGGCTGTGCCCTTCGCGCGCGCCGCGGCCTCCCCCTCCTCGGGGCCCCTCTTCTCCCCACCTCGCCCCCCTTCCCTCTCCGGTCCTCTTTGTCCCCGATGCCTCGGAGCGCTCCTCTCTCCTTTCCGTTCCTCGGCCGCTTCGGCGGGCCGGCCGCCAGCCCGGTGCCCGGTGTGGCCCTCCCACCCCCCTTTCCGAGCCCCGCTTCGCTCGGCCCCCAGCCCAGGCCACCGGCGTCCACACGCCGTCCGCTCTCTTGCCACCCCTCTTTCCATCGGTTTCCTCCCCTCGCCCCCTTCGTCCCTCGTGGTGCCGGTCCCCCGGTCCGTCTACCCTACTCCGCCTTCACGCAGGAATGGCCCCTGCTCGGAGGCACCTAACCGAGCAGCTAACCGGCATGAGGGCCTCCCGGGACCCGGGAGCCGGGACCCCATGTACACCTGTGGTATTTTCCAGAAGGGGTGTTGGGGCCTGACCTTTCACAGGTAGGCAGACTTGAAGCTTCCCGAGTTAAGCTTTGTGTCGGTTCTCTCCGTATTTCCTTTGCTCTTGTTTGTATTCGAAAGGCATTTGAGTAACTGGATCTAGGCGGATCATTCACTGCTCTCAGAGAGAAAATGTCCCCATTTTCCTAAAAGGTTCTGGGTGATTAACTTCCTCAAACAGCACTCACCCACCTCCTCTTTATCTCTCTTTCTTTAAGCTACATCTCTCTCTCTGTCTCTGTCTCTGTCTCTCCCCCCCTCCTTCCCCTCTTCCCTCCACGCCCCCCCCCCTTTGCTTTATTGCTTTGGGTTAATTTGAGAGTTTGACCCTCAGCCTTGGCGAAGGGAAGTGACTTTATTGCTTAGATGAGAACGTTAAGGAAAGGCGGTGGGATTTTTGCCCCCCCCCCCTTCACCAATTTGGTTATCTAGAAGCTGCTTTAACCAGAAGGGAGAAATTTCAAATATTTTAGCGGACACTCTCCAACACTTCCCTCGCCTGAACACACTTGGCTGGCCCCGGGGCCTGAACTTTTTCAGACGAGCTTCAGATAGGTTGCTTTTCTTCTGTTCTTCTGTTCTCCAAAGTAGGCTCTCCAGCTTGGTGACACCGGTGTGTGTACCTTCCCCCAGTATTATCTTTCTGGAACCAAGCAGGAAAAATAAACGTCAATTAGGTGAAAGTTTGTGTATTTGCTCTTCTCTTAGCCGAAACGTGTGTTTGGACACCGCCCGAGAGAGCGGTGTGTATTCAGGGAAGGAACAACTGCTTACATTGTCCCTGGGTTGACTCCAGCACCCCCCCCAAAAAAAAAGCTTAGGTCCTCTCTCCCCGGTCTCCATTTAAGGTTGACAACCCAGCGGCGCTCCCTAATGGCCCAGCGGGTTGCACAAATTGGCAGTGAGCTGAGATATTATCAGGACAACACCCCATTGAGCAGGTTCTTGAAACTGCAGACGCGGAGGCCCTTTCTCTGGGCCACTGGGCGCCTGTGGCCTTTCCACCAATCAGAGCGGGAGGGTGCAGTGGCCACCTGTTGCCTCGCACGAGAACATCTTTTAAGTTTCACTATTAGTATTTAACAATGGCGTATAGGGCAGCATCTGGCCGCAGGAGAGAAGCAGCCTGCTGATCTGAGGTACCAAAAAAGAAATTATTTTTTTTTTCTTGCAGATAGTTGTTAACCGGAGCCCCAAAGGCTGGGAAGAAGAAGTTTTTCATTTCACACTTCCCTTGCCCACCTTGTGCTCACTCTGGTGTAATCTGAGCTTGATTCCACGGGATGAGGGAAAGTATAATCAGAGTTACGGAGAGACTAAACCTGTAGTTGTAATCAGACCTCGGGGATCCGGAATACAAATACTCACAGTGGAAACCCCACTAGCTGCGAGCCTGGGAATTGCATGTGGGCTGACGTGTTGCCACAGCCCTGAGCTGTAGACGCTGGAAACTGAAGCGAGAACCTTCTCCCAGGAGGCTCCGGGGAGTTAGGAATGCCGGGTCACATCCAATACCACCTCTTGGCCCTCATTTTGAAAAAGCCTTCCCCTTAAAACCCGCCCCCTCCCCCTTATGATGCAAATGCCTTGGGGAAGGGAACAATATTCATCAGTCACTATTTTATTATGATGATGATTTAGGAGGTAAGGTAGGTGATTTTCGAGTGTAGATCTTGACTAAAAGGGGTAGGTAGGGCGGAGAAAAAGAAAGTGAAGGGTCTGAGATACGTGTGTTCAGGCATTTGGAACGGAAAAAATCCCTGGAGCAGAAACACGTCCCTTCGGGACAGCTGCTGACCTCACAGTCTTGCCTACAGTCTCCGTGCCCTCAGCAGCTACTCGCTTGCCTACCCCGTGCTGTTTTAGGCACTTGTGAATGAGAAAGAGGGTCCCCAGATGACATGCGTGGAAATCCTCTGGGGACACTATGATTTGGACCTGTCACACTCCTTGACACACATATATCCCCATGCACACATGGATGCATGCCCCATCCCATCCGCTCACCGGGAGATCCTGGCCTGACTCAAGCCACCAGTGCTATTGAGAGAAGCAATCTGAGAAACACATTCACAAGTAGTAGGAGGGATGCCAGGCTCTGTACTTCCATGATATTCGTAAAAGAAAGCTCAGGGTGGGGGAGGAGGGGGCGCGGAACATGCTGGATGGCAGCCGTATCCCAAGAACCTTGGACCATGCTTGGTACTCAGGGGGGTTTGCAATGAATGAATATCCATTTAAGTGAGGACAGCAAAAAGGAAGAAAGGCAAGAAGGGAGAGGTGGAGAAAGGGAGGGACGGGGAGGGCAAACAGAGGTTTTAACTGTAGACAAGCATTCCCAGGGAACCTGGTCAAGGGAAGATTGGAGAAGAGCGACCCCAAGACCTCTGATGTGGATAAGAACAACCTTCCTGAAGGGGCGGGGCAGGGGTGGGGGTGGTCTTATGCACGCTGCTGTTTTAGATCTCTTGTATACAACACAACTAGAATCATACGTTGTTTCATTTAGAGTTGGTCTGACACTGCCCGTCGCATTCAGAATACCACCCAATTTTAAGGATTCGAGTGGATTTGGAAGCCCATCCATGGAACACTTGAGAATGACGCCTGTAAAACATGAATGCAGTTGTAACTGCCATGCTATTTGTCATCTTAAGGGTGTCACCTTTTTCAGGCTGTCAGCATTCGTTTCTGAAGTGCCACAGACAAAGGTTTCCTTTGTACTAGGTTAGCCTTGAGTTTGAAGAAACTTCTCCAAGAACATATCTTAAACATGCTTTGAATTTATGCTGAGCAGTGCTAAGTTACCGATTTGGAAGGGCAGTACAAGATTCAGCTATACAGAAAATAGAACTCCTGGGCATAAGAAAATTCCGGTAAAGTTTTTGGATGACTTGAGTCAAAATGTCAGTCTTATTACCTTGATGTTTCCAACTGAACAGTACTATGATCCAAGAATCTCTAAAAAAAAAAAACAGGGGTGGAGGGGTTGGGGGGGTAGAAACACACAAGCTTATCTTTAAGAGATTCAGTGAAAATAGTTTTTATGAAAGGAGAGAATTCATGATGGGAAAACTCTCTTACCTCTTGAAAGAACTCGAAAACTCTGTTTCTCTACTCTGTGTCCAAATTAAGCAAGGAAGTTCCCAGGAGGATTGCATTCAACCCGCCAAATATTATACCCAAAGGTCTTCCTGAGACCCCAGCTTTTAGGGAATCTGTGAACAGTGATTTAACCTCTCTGTGAATTGGTTGCCCAGATGAGATGAGGATACTATTAAACATTACGTACAGTTTAATTTTCTTGAGTTTTGGTCATGAAAAGTCCTATCCAAATATTATGATCCTTGTTTGCAGTATGTAATGTAGCCAAATTAACAGCAGCTCCAAATGGAAATTAACAAGGCCAGAGCTACTCCAGTTTCTTCTCATCCTATTCCCATAGTAACAGCTAATGTATTATATTGGTAAAACATTTTATATTTGGTTTTATGTCTGAATTTGGCTTCCTGTCATAAAGCAGAGCATTTCTATCCAGCATGGATTCTTAGTATCTGTATAACTCATCTCCGTGAAATTTAGAGTTTCATGTCAGAGAATCACGACTTTGCATTCGTCATCTAAATCGCATGCAGATAAAATCAAGTCGAGACCTACCAAGGCTCTCACAATAGGGGATGGTATAGAGGAAGCATTCCGACCTCGGGACCTCAGTACAAATCCCCAGAGCAGACTCTAAAACTACTCACCAGGAGAGTTCCACACAGGAATTAGGGTGTGAAAAGATCCCCAAGCTTTGTCATTGTTAGCTTCAGTTTTCCATGAGTCCAAACTTTTCAGGTCGGGAAACAGGAATTATATTGATATTGTTACTTAGGTCAAAAAATGCAGGAACATGAACAAATTGGGAAACAATCAGCTCACTTTTCATATATGTTTACACTTATGTATATACATATATACATACACATATATATACATACATATGTATGTATATACACATATATACATACACGTGTGTGTGTGTGTGTGTGTGTGTGTGTATTTGTGTGCATGAGATCACTTCTCCCATTACTGCAACCAACTTTGGCCACATTGGTCTCTGTGCTACCAGGTGCAAGAACCACT